TAGGTACAACGTCATCTCGCTGCCTTTCGCACTTTTGAACATGTTAACCTCGGGCACTTCCGTTGAAATCTCAGGAGAAACGTGTCAAAAAGAGCGAAAGGCAGCGTCGCACCACGTACGCACGCTGGTTCACATGGGAACCTCTCTGGGGTACAGACGGTACAAAGCTCGTAAACGACGCATAGTCGCCCGATTCATGTGACATCACCGTAACGTGGCTATCGCGCTTCAGAGTGAACGAATCCCTTTACACATTGACGGCAACGTGACCCACGTGGTAGATCATGCAATGTCTATCACCTGGGACAATGTGACCCACAGTGGGGTCAGGCTTGAATTTTGTTGAGAAGACTGCTGTTTTTAAATACATTCGTTTCAGAAGTTTTCCTACGTTCTGACCCTACAATTTGCTCTTGTCTTCCTATAGAATCACTGTAGGTGTACTGTAGTTGACAATCTGCATAATTTTAACTTAAAATCTTTTCGACTTATCCATGGAAGGCATTGTCCCAAGAGGCAGACAACTAAAAACGCACGTTGTTTCGACATGTTAATCTTCTCCTCGCGATCACCGAGCAGCCTACCGTAAACAAAAACCTGGAACAATTTTGCGGAATCTGGCCTCCTACTATGTCCATCCACAGACACTTCTATATACCGTAAGATGCGCCCCGCCGAGCTGAGTCAAATGGTACATCATGGAAATTTAGTCAATCAATACACCTTTCGTTTTAGCCGAATTTTAGTGATATTGTATTTTTTATGTCGTATCTCGGTGAAGTTTTGACCGATTACAAGTCAGAGTTTGAGTTCAGTTTTGCGTATGACACGACAGATGAACAAAAAACAACTGATGTGATTAATTGTTGGCTATTAGATGAATAGAAGAAATAATAGTACAAAGATAAATCAAACTAAATATGATGAAGATGAGTTAATGAGATTAGTTTATTTAATTTGCAAATAAGCAAAAAACCTGTCTATGCGACAGGGCGACCGATCAGTCGAATAAGGAGCCAAATAATCTGGCTATGAGGCTGAGTGCCTCTAAAAATTATACAGGGTGTCCCAAAAAAATGTATCGAACGTTTGATCGTTAATATCTCTCTTCCCAATAAGTCTTTTGCCTTGTTTCAGGTACCGTTTTGTAGAGCTGGCTTCAATTTAGGTTTGCATTATAGAACGAATCACCCATCTCTCTTCATTACTGTAGGATTACGGTAGAAACTTCAAAGAGGGTTTTAAGCAATGGAAGGCCATATTTTGCCAAAAAGGAGACAAAACAGCCTGAAAACTTTTACACCAGGCTAATTAGAGTTGCTGATTATAACTGTAAAGTTCCCAACTTATTATGATGCTTCATTTAAGAGTTATGCCAGGTAAGAGGTAGCGGCCATTTTTTAATGTTCCTAAAAAGTGCGGTTACACCGTTTAGAAAGCTCCGTAATCTCGTGAATAGTTGAGTATTGAAATCAGCGTCCATGGAAACCCTATTGCACAAGTTTTCATAATTTTTTGAAAAATTTTGAAACGGCAGCTTTTTCCACATTGACACCACATGTTTCAAGTTTCTACCGTAATCCTACAGTAATGAAGAAAGATGGGTGATTCATTCTATAATGCAAATCTAAGTTGAAGCCAGCTCTACAAAACGGTACCTGAAGCAAGGCAAAAGACTTTTTGGGAAGAGAGATATTAACGATCAAACGTTCGATACATTTTTTGGGACACCCTGTAGATGAGACAAATCGCAAGCAGTGTGAATCCTTAAAAAGGTACTAATGACCTTTTCCTGATAAACTCTTTGTTATTCAACAAATTTATAAAGACCTGTTGCTATTTTCATAGCCCCTTACTTCTTTCTACTTGTTTTCTTTCTGTGTTTGGACTGTGACCCAACTCAACTTGTATTTACACATATATAAACATAATAGAAACCTCCCCCCCCCCCGGAAAACCCTTTACCTCCCTTGCCTCACCCTACACTTCCCCTCATTCTCTCTTTCTCCTCCACTTCCCTATTCCCCCTCTGCGAATGAGACAACGAATGAGTAGCATTACAAAAAAGAAAAGACAGAAAGTCTTATGCCGAGCGCCCAGCAAAAATGAAAGACTCCCACTTTCCGCACAGATATAATAGCCAAGGCGAAAGAAATTTTTATTAGTCCATTGGAAGAGTTAGCACTTCTCTATAAATAAAGCTGAGGGTCTGTTTGTCTGTACGTGTGTCAATCATATGTTTCAAATAGAAAATTCCATTTCTGAACCGATCCGGACCAAACTTGGCACACATGCACTTCGGGCCCCGGCGGGTGTCACAGTCCACTTTTCGTTATCGATCGATGTCGATTTTATTGATTTTTTGCAAAATTTGAGCTAGGGGGCTGGAATTTGGCAGAGGGGTGTAATCGAGCATGCTGATCACCCCCACGGGGGGTGATCAGCATGCTTTATTTTCTATTCGGAACATACGGCGGAGCCGGGTAAGCCAGCTAGTCTGTTATATTATTACATGCACCCTAGTCTGTGTTAAGCATTGCGTTACCAACATCCTAGAGATAAAAGCAGAAGTGAATTGGCGATGTAAAAATAGTTCGAAAGCTTATAAAGGAAGCCTTCTTAATCGAAATGGCCTTTTCAAATGAGTCCTATATCAGTCTGAAGCACTAAACATTGATCCTAGATCTGTTTTCATTTTCTGCGAAACCATTTCCGAAAGAAGTTATGAGTGTGTGAAAGCCCAGTTCGACATGCTATAAGTGCTACAAAATCAGCGAAAACTGTACAAACACCTGGAAGTGACTGAACACTTTTGTATCAAGTATATTAACAACGACGAAGGAACACAGCCAATGGAAATTGTATAGGTGTTTTTTGCAGATTTTCCCTAATTTATGTCACTTATTGCTCAACGAGATGGACTTTCAAACGCTCATAACTTCTTCCAAAGGGTTATTCTGAAGAAAATACACAAATTTGGAATCAGCCTCCATTGTTCTTTGAAGCAATGGAACTTCCAAACGGGTTTTGAGCCATTGAGCCTATTTTGCCTCCGTAAGCACTGAACAATCTAAAAACTCTTGAGTAAGCTAATTAGAGCCGCTAAAACAAAAATATGCGTGACACTTTACGCTTAAGGCAGAGTTCACGCGACTTCAGTAGCGATTCATCGCGACAAGACAAGTGTTACGAGTTCACTGCACATTGATCTTCTTGTATTACGGTTGTGATAGTTAGTCACGATTAGTCGTTGGAAAACTATCACAATCGAAATACAAGAAGATCGGCATGCAATGAACTCGTAACACTTGTCTTGTCCCGATGAATTCGACGATGAAATCGCGAGAACTCTGTCCGAGGCCTACAGGGTGCACCACAATTATTTGCGCGTGTATTATTAAGCGCCATACGATTATAAGACCGGCTCAGCCAACGGTCAAGCTTGATATTATTTTCTTAGCTCCACAGTATTGTATCTTAGTTGAAATATGTGAAATTGCCTGTTTTGCTTTTCCGTAAAAATTCATAATGTTTCTCTGGCTTTGTAGTGTGCTGCACGTGGGTAGAGGCTCACAAATTTGCCCAGCATGTATCTTTTTAGTGACCGCTTCTCTCAGGTAAAACGCTATATAATAGAGCTAGTTTTATACTTCAAAATCACTGAGGTTTGGTATCTTTAGGAGCATTCAAAACAATAATTTTGACTATTTTATAATTTGCGTCAGCTTGCGTTTTTTCAGTAACAAACATTGCTTTTTGCAATTCATACTTTTCTAAATAAAGACCGATTCGGGATCTTGATAGTGCTTTTTGTAGAGTGCTTACGGTATTTTGTGACATTACATCCACACCAAATTTCTCATTGCCATTGTTGTGGCATTACTCTTGAATATTTTGGCGCAAATAATTTTGGCGCACCCTGTAGTGCTTATTTCATGAGTTATGCCAACTGAACCGCAAAAGCTGCTTTTACAATGCTATTCAGATTTTGATTACACCATTAAAAAGCTTTACAACTAAAAAATTGAGTAATGAAATCAGCGCCTTGAAAACTCTGGTACACCACTTCAAGATTTTTTTGGAAACTTTTCTCAAAACACGGCTAATCCAAAATGACGCTGTAACCTGGAAATTCCTACCATAATCCTACAGTAATTAGGAAAGATGATGATTCGCTTTCGATTTTTTTTTTGCAAATCAAGTTGAAGCCAGCTCTGCAAAATAGTACGTGAAATTAAACAGAAGATTTTTGGGAAGAGAGATATTAACGATTGAACAGTGTGTACATACTTTGGGGCACCCTGTATAACGCAAATATTACTTACAGAGAATGATAAAAAACTTGACTCCTTGCTGTGAACTCATTTATCAGCAACAAATATGCTTAAATGATTACAATTACAGATCAATCTTTTCACTTTGTTTACACACTGCATCTACATCTGCACTTAGCATTTATGTTCAGAAAATTCAAAGATGATTTGCTGTGGCTTGCAAATTCCAAGGCAAACTATTTGGAAATAGTTACTCAGCTATTTTTAAGGATTTAGTTAAATTACTTTTTGACAGGTGACGTTGGCAGAAGTAACTTTCACACGACTGTGCAATACAATCGCTAATAAAGATGTTGCAATTCTGTATTTACGACTGCGCGCAGTTGGCTGCCAACGTAGCCTCACATCTTTTCATTCAGGTTTTCGCGCGAAATTTTTAACCGCGCCGATCAAAATCCCTTATCGCAAGTCCCGTTTCAATCGGCAAATCTTGTATTCGACCTAGCCAATTTTGCGGGTAAACCTGTTGCATAGCATAGGAATCTTGAATATAAAAGCGGTCATTGGCTAGCTATGGCACGTCTGCTTAGCTTCTCATTCATTTCATTACTTCCTAGTTTCATTTTCTGCCTTAGTCTATAACAAAAACAAATATTTTCGCAATCATTTTTGTTTCCGCGGTTTTTCTGTACAACAATATTTGGTGACTTAATCCTTACTTTTAGAATGTACAAGTACGCCGTCGTTGCCCTTGCTGTCTTCTCTGCCTCTGAGGCATTCCTCTTCGGTGGCGGCGGCAGCAGCTGCGGTTGCCCTCCACCACCTCCTCCATGTGGATGTGCTGCTCCTCCTCCACCACCTCCACCAGCTCCCTGCGGTGGTGTCCCGGCATGTGGAGCAGCCCCAGCATCCGGTGGATACGCTCAGGCTCCTCCATCATTCGGCGGATCTGGTGGTTACGCTCAGGGTCCAGGAGGTTTCGGTGGTTCATCAGCTGGAGGATTCGGAGGACCATCCGGAGGTTCATATGCTGCAGGCCCAGCCGGTGGTTTCGGAGGACCATCAGGAGGATCGTACGCTGGTGCCGGTGGATTTGGAGGACCATCTGGAGGCTTCGGTGGACCATCAGGAGGATCATACGCAGGTCCAGCTGGAGGAGCCGGAGGATTCGGAGGACCATCAGGAGGATCATACGCCGGCCCAGCTGGAGGAGCCGGAGGATTCGGAGGACCATCAGGAGGATCATACGCTGGCCCAGCTGGAGGAGCTGGCCCAGCAGGAGGATTCGGAGGACCATCAGGAGGATCATACGCCGGTGGAGCTGGAGGAGCTGGCCCAGCAGGAGGATTCGGAGGACCATCAGGAGGATCATACGCCGGTGGAGCTGGAGGAGCTGGCCCACAAGGAGGATTCGAAGGACAAGGCCCAGCTGGAGGATCATACGGACAAGGACCAGCCCAAGGACGTAAGTGACTACAAAGAGTTTTCACTGTAACAACCAGTTTCAATTCCAATTCGTTCAGCAATTGGTGGCGGAGAAGGACCAGGACCAGCAGGATCATACTCTGGCCCACAAGGAGGACCCGGCCCACAGGGAGGTTCATACGCCGGCGGAAAGCACTAAACTCGTGCATAAAACAACAAAGACGGTGTCGTCTGATTATCTGTGTATACAAGGCAATGAAGAATTCTATCATACTTCTTTTCTGTTATCAAGACCTTCTACGGAAGGCTATCACAAACAAAGTAGCAATACTCTTTATGAAAGTGCGGCAAAGATAAGTACTAGCTGGATACAACTGAAATCAATATCTTTACCCAATCAGCCCTGCCGTACGCTTCAATCGAAAACGATGTACATACTAGGAAGTAAAGCTGGTCGCTCATATACCCTGCAAAAATCAGAAGGTTTCATTCAGTGTCCAAGTATATCCTCCTGGTTGATTGCACCGACAGAATTAACAAACGTTTCGCATTCACTGTTGACGAGATTGCGCAGTAATCCAGCGCTTTCTCCGTCCCTTACGAAAGGAGTGGCAAGAATGGCCACAGTCAGAATCACTTTTACCAGAATCGTAATCACTTTCAATCCTGAAATGACCTAGCATGAAACACTTTTTTCCTCAGACATGACCGAAAAACAACATATTTTTTCATGTCAACCTTTTAAGGGTGTATTTTCTTCATTTAGATAACTGATTTATCTCATTTCATTTACAACCACTCAACAGGAACCCCGCAAAACTGATCGAATTTTTCAAAATATTAAAGTCAATGTTTTTTTCGTTTTGATACAGACAATGGTACTTTGACAGCCAATGATATGATAAGAGTTCCAAGGAGTGAAATTTTTCGGTTGTTTTATAAACGTACAAATTGGCAATGGCGAGAATGCGGGCAAAAAGAACGTATAGAAGAGGATGAGAATAGGGAGCGGAAAGGGAAAGTAGAGAACAAGATTAAGAAAAAAAATTGGGCATTATCTCAAAAACTGCAGGTAAGTCCCCTTAGAGATTTATTTCCCGAAAGCTTTTATTTTCTTCCTCAAATCAACCGTTGATTTTCACAAAACCACAAGAACATCAATGCTGCACATTAGTCGAAGATCTCGAGCTTCGAATGATATCTGAGAGGTTAATTATGCAAAGAATTTATGGAGTACCTTTTGAGCGATGTACATGGGGCTGTCTTCTTGAATTTTTGCAGAAATTTCAAAAGTAGAGGCTAGAATGTTCGGTGATAAAAAAACAACTTTTTACAAAATTGCAAAATCATTTCCATGCGCGCCTACTCCAGAACATATCAAAAACCTTTCACAGCAAATGTTGATCTGTGAAATGTGTTGCGCAGGATAGTATTTAGCTCTCGATATGAAGAAGGACAAAAAGCGAAATTATATGTTCATGTTGTATGTTGTTGTTTGAAGTCAAAACTTCCACTGAAGAAAGCGACGCTCGTGATTGTTTACCCATTTCAGATATCTCCGAAAATCGGTTCCTTTCTTCAAGTGTTGAATTTTGTGAAGCCGAAAGGCGTGGTATCGAATGTTCGGCTTATTTCCATTCTACGCTCACCATCCGGTTATAATTGAAAGTGCAGCATCAAAACGTAAGAACCGGCTTCGTACACACTTTATGGATGGTAACAAACGCTTACAAGCCTAATTGTATGAAAAAGATACATTGGATTAGATATAGGACAGGGAGAACGTAAATTGTGATTTTACAAAAATATACTTTGTATAGTTGTAAATATTTCCACTGAAATGACTCAATTTGAAATGAAATACGATTTTATCAGCGGATATCGTTCGTTTCACACGTTTTTTTCTCTAGTTTTTTCTCTGGCTAAAATTTCTGCCCTTGAGATCCACTATAAAAAGCTCCGCGTGGGAGAACGCAACCACCACGTCTGCTTGATCATCCATAATTTCTGCTAATATCGTCGGTAAAGCAGCTCACGCAAATTATTTACAGAATGAGGTGGTTGGTGATGGCCATAGCTGCATTTGCGACATCTGAAGCGTGTCTGTTCAACCTTTTTGGTGGTGGTGGTGGAGCTGGTGCTGCCGGAGGTGCTGGATGTGCATGGTAAGTCATATACGCAAATAGTGAGTAAGGGAGGAAATTATCTAAATTATTTCTGCTTTAGCGCACCAGCACCTGCTCCTTGTTCATCTGGATGTGGCGGTGGTGGTGGCGGCATTGGTGGATGCGGAGGTTCCGCAGGCGGTTGTGGCGGTGGTATTGGCGGAGGTGGTATTGGCGGCATTGGTGGATGCGGAGGTTCCGCAGGCGGTTGTGGCGGTGGTATTGGCGGAGGTGGTGGTGGATGCGGAGGGGGAGCAGTTCTTCCCCCGCCAGCTTCTTCATATGCTGTGGCACCTCCTCCACCAATGCCTTCCTACGCAGCTCCACCACCACCAGCACTCCCACCACCACCAGCACCTGTGGCACCACCTCCACCTGCTTTCCCACCACCGTCTGCACCAATGGTACCACCTTCTCCTGCATATCCGCCACCATCAGCACCAGTAGCACCAGCACCACTTCCAGCAGCTCCTCCTCCAGTGGCGGCTGTCCCAGAAGCTGCTCCTCTACCTGCGGCTCCAGTTTCTGCTCCAGTTGGAATGGGATCGGGAGCATCTTATGCTGCCGGCGGCCCAGGTCCTGGAGCTTTTTCCGGTGGTCCAGGTGGTGCTGCCGCCCCTGTTGCTGCCTCTCCGCAAATCATAATCGTCCGTGAGTTTTGAGTGTCTTTCACCAGATTATGTTGTTTAGTATATGAAGTTTGTTCAGCTTTAGTATATGAAGTTTGTTCAGCTATCTCTAGTGGTGCACTTACTGGTGGAATAGGATCGGGAGCAGGATTCGGCGGAGGACCGGGAGCAGACGGCTTTGGTGGAGGCCCTGGAGCAGGTTTTGGAGGAGGACCAGGAGGAGGATCCTATGCGTCAGCCGGATCAGGCTTCGGAGGAGGACCGGGAGCAGGTTTCGCAGGAGGACCCGGAGGAGGTTTCGGAGGAGGACCAGGAGCGGGCTTCGGTGGAGGACAGGGAGGAGGATCCTATGCTTCAGCCGGAGGCTTCGGTGGAGGACCTGGCTCATTTGGACCATCAGTGGGAGGAAGTGGAGGTTTCGCGAAAGCAGGGTATGCCACAGGTGGACGTTAGAGAACCGAAAACGATTCGACGAAGTTGTTTGTATATTATGATTATAAATTTATGTTGTTTCGTTATACAGATTGTTTCCCATATCTTTGCGGATTCATAAAAGGACATCAACTGAATAGCAGAGAGAGAGAGAGTTAAGACGTTTACACCAAACTGACTGATCAAAAGTAAAATGATGTAAACGCAGTTATTCTTGTGCGAGGTTCATAAATGAATTAATGACCATATGAAGAACGTTATAAAATTAATCTTAAGAAAACCTAACATTGAGAGGTGAATTTGTGACCCAGACTGTCCTCTTCTCTTCTGTGGAAAATACTGTATTCTTCTATATACCAGAATGAATATAGTCTCCACGAAGTTGCCGTTAATTCAAAGCAGTTTCAGCCTGAATAACTTCATCAAGGCTGCGAAAAGGACAGCATGAAATGAACTCAACCTTGCGCTGTCTGCTAAATCTCAGTTGAACTCTGTAACAGCGATTCATCACTAGTTGCTATTCAGGTTCATTTCATGCTGAAAAGTGGAAGAGGATGAGCTAATAGGTAGGGCGTTGACCTCCCATTGATGCACTCTACTGACCCGCCCTAGCAATTCGATCAAATTGTTTTCGGGCCAGTGTAAAGAAACTTATTTTTTGTAGTAAATAAAGATAAACGTTCACCAATGTCAGCATGAATAGTGGAAGTCATATAGTATATAAAGAACACAGAGAACCAGTCAATAATTACCAAGGAACACTATAACTTTTCAGAGCAATACTATTGTGCCTAGTCTGGTGATACTCTAACCTGATAGGTGAAGAGCTGTGAAAAAAGCTGTTTCTAAAAATTACTGTTTGTGTACGCTTATGGCTCATGTGCATTTTGTGCCAGCAAAATTTGATCTAATCAGCGATTATCTGAGTGCGAATCAACTAAAACAAGGTCAATCACTGCCTTTCTTCTACAACAATGCCGAGCGGGCCACATTTCAAAAGAACATTGCACGCATCGTTCAGCAGGGTCAGAACCAAACCTTACTTGATTTTGCAGAAATTTTCAAAAGACAGTGATTTTTTGCTCCTAAGTGTATGAAGTAGCCAAAACATCGTTTCAAACCTGGTAAGATATCGAAAGTTATGAGTTATATACCTCCTAAAGTGCACGCCCAAAGACTCTGTAAAATTAAAGAAGGACACAGTTTATAATGATTCTTGTGTGCGCGGCCTTATTAATAAAACAGTGAAACCTTATGAATTTTTCCTAGAAATCGAAATTCATAAAATAGCAAAATATTTGTAGTTTTATGAGATGTTACATATTGTTTCTAAGGCTGTGTCTCCACAATGATAATATAAAACAGAGTGTTTTACTGGCTTCTTATTTTAACGTCATCCATGATATAGTTACTCAATATGGATTCACCAGTGAACTGTACTTTCTTGAAGCGTATATCCAGCTAAACGTTGGCTTTTCATAAAATGAAATCCTATTCAGGGTTGATTGGAATAAGCATTGATCTGTGGTGAACAACTCGGAAGGTACTGAGGGTGCCTTCATGCCGCGCCGGCAGCAGCAGGAGTGTATGTCAAGGACACCTAATAGCGCAAAATAAGACTTTTATAACATTCTAAGAGATAAATTAGATAGTTATGAGTTGAATACTTGATTTTGTTGCCTTGAATTTAAATTAAAACAGCAGTTTCAAAGGTCAAAAACCGAAATAGGTTAGAAACAAATTTGTGAATATTTCACTCCGTTTTTCAGCAAAAGCCATCAAACTCAGCAAGTAACATGGTGACCTCAGACTGATGGTAAGCCAACGCACTTTATCTGATACGTTTTGAAGACCCGCATAAAACTAAACTGGGGTTTCGAGTTGGTGACAGCCGGAGACACCGCGCCTAGTGACCGTCTCTCCAGCCACAGCTAGCCTTTTGGCACTTATCCCAGTATCCGTTACCACAAACCAAACCATTGATTTCGCTAACTATATTTATTGAGGGTTAATCGACATGCTGAACATGAATTTCACAATACTTTTATATTTTATAAAGGGCTTGGAATACTGGGATAGTGCGCAAAAGCGGGTAAGGGCGGCGCGGCGGCTACTTTCAGCCGTTCAAATCCCCTCCCCCCCCCCCCCACTTTTCATTAGAGCCCTTATTTACAAATGTTCTCGATGGCGTGACGCAATCAAGACTAATATTTTGCAGTGGACAGGCAAAGCTGAGTGTTTGGAACCTGTCCACCTATTTCAAGATATAAAATAAAATAAAATATGACAATAGGTAGATATTGAGTTTACCCAAAAATGACTCAACCTTGATAAACGAAACGACTTCGAAATGAGGTAGTCCCTGTTCAAGTCACTGCCACTCCGAAAAATTTGATTCAGTGTGTCGTAAAAATTACACACACTCACAATTACCTTCGAAAGGTCAAGTATCCGACGACTGGAGAGATTTTCTGCAGAGGGGCGGAAGCAGCAATAAGAATTGATCGGCGGTTGATGCCCTCAAAAAACTGGATTAGGTTGATATCGCATTCTGTAAGTACTTTGCGTACTGTTTAACGAATTGCTTTGCTCAAGGTCATAGTAGCCGGAGGAATTCTATAAAATGGGGTGCGAACAAAATTTGGACAAAAACATTTTCTGCAAGCTCATTGTGTTCTATACCTTTGAAGACTTCACCAAATTTTGAATTTTTTAAGATTCTAATTGATATTTACATTCAGTTACATGCTTCGGGTGTTAGTTCTCCTAGCAGCAATCGTAATAGTAAATGAAGCAACATTCGGATTTGGTTGCGGTGGATGTGGCGGATTCGGATGCGGTGGATGCGGAGGTCTAGCACTGCCAACGTTGCCACCATTGAAGCTCCCGTCATGGTGTGATCTTTTCGGATGGACAGGAGTTGGCTGTTGCTGTTGTTGTGGAACAGAAACAAGTTGCTGCGGGTAAGTGTAGAAAGTATTTGTTGATAGCACAAAAATTCTCCATTTTCTACCTAACGTTGCTTATATGCCGTTTTTGCATGTGAATTTAAACAAGAGATACCAACTTTACAAGAAATATATCTATCTACGCAAGCCAACTTAAGTTTTTGACATTATTTGGTTAGAGACATATTTGGGTATCTAAGCATTCTATGGTTTCTTTATCACCACACATGCACTCGAAACCAACGGGCATAACTGTTATGCCAAGATAGGCACATCTATCCTGCAGTGACAACCGGGTAATTTTTTCGAAGGGGGGGGGGATTTACAAGTGATGAGGAAGTTAGCGAGCCCCTCCGAGAAATCTTTGGGTTTCTTTCCAAAATTTTTGCGGACCCACACTCGCACTTCAAGATAACTTGGGACAGATCTCTATGAGGTCAATTTGAATTCTCAAAATTCAAATCTATTTCATTTGTTTACGAGAAGAAACAAGTCTGCGAAATTTGAAATTCATGTGCTACTTTCAAAATTGTGACAGCATAGCAAGCAAAAATTCGGTAGATCTTGAACTGCCCCCCGAACCGTTTGACCTGCTCCGATGAACTTTCTTTCAATATAGAAAATTTACTAGTTCTGGTACTCCAATAAGGGTATAAAGAAAGTGCACAAGGGCACAAGCGTCACGTAAATGCCGCTAATACTCTTTATCAGAATGAATAGCTGACTGCTCATGATTAAGAATATATTGCCAACTTCCAGCATCATTAAAAATGACGCACACAAGCTTGATGTGCCTTCAACATGAAAACTTTGAGAACCTAGTCTCTATTGTCTAGGAAATTCTTTAGGAAGGTTGAACTGCAAAAGATGTTTTTTTTTTCATGAGTTAATAAGGGACAGGATATATTAGAACTGACGCCCGAAAGATCTAGTTCTACCAATTTCATTGGCAGTTCAGTGGCCGTATTCATCACGTTCGCAAAAAGCTCTGCTGAATTCGCTAAAACCCTAGCTATGAGAATACCGGGCGGGTTTTAAGCCTGACCGCTGCATTCGTTGATGAATACGGCAGATGTAGCTTCAATTCGACTTTTCACACCCAATATTGTTTCCTATTTAGAGATGACTCCTCTGGGAAGAGTTACGAGAGTTACTCTAGTAGTGGATACTTTAGTGGCGGATGTAAGAGCTACGGTGGAGGCTACGGTTGCTACGACAAAGGCTATGGCGGTTACGCTCGTCCTCCTCCACCTCCACCACCACCACCTCCACCACCACCGCCACCTCCACCACCACCTCCACCACCACCAAGTGGATACGCCACTCCACCAAGGGACTATCCACCGCTAGATCCTCCACCACTCGACCCTCCTAGCTACAACAACTACCGCTATTCACCACCAGCGCCGCCACCGCCACCGCCACCACCTCCGCCACCACCACCGCCACCTCCAGCACCACCAGCACCACCGCCACCACCGGAACCATATTCGATTTCGAAGGGAGAATCGTATTCATCAAACAGCATTGGTGGTAATCCGCCATCATCAAACTACGTTTCCCAGTCTTCTTCTTATAATCTGCCTCCAGAAGTTCGCAGATCGCGTGTGAGAGTTTACTGACGTTTGTGTAATTGATAGCAATAGGTTTGTTCGTTGATTTATATTTATGTGATCGTCATTTTTAATTGCCATAAATCTGTTTGTTCTCGTTATCCAAGTGTTTGAAAGTTTATGGTCAAAAACAATCATTTTACGAGATTCAAGAGCAGAAAGAAGAGATATAAGCAACCAAAATAGAAACTTTAGGAGATTTACATTGTTATCATATTTGTTTGGAATCATGTAGTCCACTTCTTCAAAACATTCATTTAATGGGCACGTCTGTAGAGCTCTTTGAGCAGAGACACCAGTCCATCAAGATTCCTTTCTTCTTGTAGCTGATTAGGAGAGATGTGTACAAGTCCACTGGAATAATTGCAATACCGAAGAGAAAATGACGGCATATAACTAAGCCAGAGCTCACCTTATTCCAATATACTCCAATGAATCAAAAAATTTCGAAATATTCTCGCCAGCGCTAAACATTGACGGCTTCTCATTTATCGTTTGACAAAGTTCACCATTTGTCAATCTTTGGATAAGTCTGAAATGAAAAGTACATTTGAGAGTACAAACTTGGTGACTAATTCCATCACCTGCACAAAATTTTTCCATCAGAAAGTTGTTTCATAGCCGAGTCCGGGTCACGTGAGATTTCATAACCGGTAACAGCAGCAACCCAGTCTAGCATTTGAACTTCCTCATTTCTCGAGTGTTTTCCTTGCAGCTGAAGCACATAATCGGATTGGAATGATGAAGGGCAAACCGGACAATTAAAGATGAAAGTAAATAAAGGCTTTAGAGATATTTAGCTGGAGTTACCCAAGGAATCCTATAACTCCTATCCTGTTTTGAACCATAACATGACTCAGTGCCATTGTCGCTTGTTGCAAGTTCAGGGTAGGGTGATGACCCAGTAAATCGCTTCCAGCCGGTTGCCATCGCCCTGCAAAATTGAATCGTAATCACATGAAGGGTCCTCAACAATTCGATGGTTAACCAATTCAACGAGTTTAACAAATCAATTATTAACGAGTGCTAGAAATGAACCACTTCAGTGGAATATCACTTTAATGGAGGATCTGCACATTTAGAAAATTCGACCAAATGCGATGAAGAAATTTTTTGGAACAATCTTAGTAAGAGTTTCTAGTACAAACGACTAATGGACAAATCGGGAAAATCTGCGTCTTTGAACACCACTGCTTTCATTATTAAAATTCCAAACCACAAATTAATTTACATGATGATACTCAGGTGAAATTGTGATTTAAGCAAATCAACAGTCTCTGCTGATTCAGCCGCATTGCCTGAAGAGTGAGTTAACAAATGAGATCTTATCGTAAAGGACGGGCGTGATAGCAAGACGTCTCGTTTGTTAGCTTTTTCAACGGCTGGCACTTCAAGGGGCATTTGGTTAGCTCAGAGGACATTGTTTTCCTGTCGAGTTGGGATAGTTGTGGAAGATAGTCGTAAGGACCACTTTCCGTCTTAATTAAGAAACGGCAAGAAACCTCCGATAACTGGCCACAGAAATCTCTTGAGAATACCAGAAAAAGTACTGGAGGAGATGACTACCTCATGGGGACATTTGCAGAGACACCTGACCTGCTTTATCCACAAAAACTGACTTTGTTCCTTACCGATGAATATCTAGATGGGTTTCTGTTAAAGTTGCTCGTATGTCCATTTTATGGTGTTTAAGTGCCAAGTTGGCAAAAGTGGCTGCCAAACTTTGCGGGCATAGGGTCTGTGCCCCAACCACCAATGCTCCTTCCCATAGGTACAATTAAGATGAATGCCAAGGCGAGAAATCTGCTTCAGAAGATAGAAGTGGCCACGCTGGCCCCGCCCTTCAACGCGGGTGATCTGATGGTGCGAGTTCGATATTGGATTAACACATTCACGACAATAAGACCCACCGATGGTCGTACGTGTTCTGCCATTTCGGACAATACGACCCACCGGTGGGTCGTAAGATTCCTGAAGCTCTAGCTTTGTCAGTATACGATGAAATTCTACGGGGTTCTGGCACATGATTGGGGACACCTACACCTTGGCGAAGCTCCAGCCAGAGTGGTCCGGGTTCGGGATATTGTAATGTAATTACGGTAGGTATACCGTAGATAGAGGTGGGGCACAGATCTTAGCTCAAATTTCTCGCAGAGTGGTGCTGTTTTTGATAATTCAAGTTTACATGCACAAGAAATACAGGAAAGGCATGAGACTGATGTTCTGTGCTTCCACTGTGGTCAGCCCATCAAAAATTATCGATTTTATCGATTTTTCGCATTGTTTATCCCAGGAAGCTCAAAACTTACATATATATAGGTTTTTTAGCATGCTGATCACGAAATTGGTAGTCTCAAGTTCTAATACCACCATTTTACTCAGTTTCTTAATTCTTATGAAAAATTCACCGCACTGCTACCGTAGTTCCATGTGGGAAAGTAGTGAACAAAGTGGGCACTAAATCGTGATCAGCACGTTAACCTCAAAACACAGTTTTTCATGAAAATCATGATGTTGGGTTCGTACATAATGACTACCGTAACCTTAACGTATCCCGCCAAAAACTAAACTTAATCATATGTTGGTAATCAGTGCCTTCGATAACTTGAGGGGACTTCTCGGAGATATGTTTGAAATTCTTCCAAAAAGATCATTTCGAACAATACGACCCACAGGTGGGTCGTAAATTTGACGAAGCAAAAAAGGCTCTGGTCCGAAAAGGCAGTAATCGAAAAATCGGTCTTGTCGTGAACGTGTTAAGGTGGATAGAAAGGTCGCAAATTTGAGGATCATAATGAAGAGCGGATTTATAACCTTCATTAAAGCTCAAGTTTGGACATATTAGCCTCAGACCAACCAAGCTGATGGGCGGAGCCAGCTTGGCCACTTCTTCCTTTTAAAACGTGTTTCTCGTTTTGAAATTCATATTTTGCAGCGGATTTGGTCAATTGCTTAATCTCATCACCATCAATTGTAGACTTTGCCGTCGATGTTTTCGCTGGAAGAAAATGGGATGGTACTTATGGGAAGAACCTCAGGGTCCGGTCAACGATTGCAATAAATTCTGCAATTTCTGTGATCTACTAACTGCCGAAATACACGAAGGGATTAGGGTTACGACCAGGGTTGAACGTGGGGTCAGGCGCGCCCGACCTGGGGGGTCGTACTGGGGTAAGACAGAGGGGGAAGGGTCGTGATTAGGAATCGAATTCGTTCGATTGAGGAGATACTACGATTAAGGTGAAGAAGAAAAGCGCTAGTTTAGTGGATATCGCGACCTCACCAGTACTGAAGGAAAGAACGGTCTTAAACAGCATACTGTTGATTCCACAATCGAAGTTTCGGCCAAAACTCAAATCTTCATCTTCTACCTTGACATATTATAAATCATCAAGGAAGCTTGCGTGAAATGGGTATCATTTCCGAGCACGTCAAATTACTTCTATGAGCCCTACAAACCATTATTCACTGCATTATCTAGTGTTTCTCAACGACTAAAAAGCGTGATTTTCAAACATGATTAACTTGTTTTCAAAAGTGAGAAAAGTCAATTTTTTTGTACTCGTAACAAAGTATTGTTCCCTACTAGTCTAGGCTAAAAATCGCGCTTTGTATCGCTTGCAAATAGTGGAGTAAGAAATAATGCCAAAATTCCGACCGGGGCGTTTTTCTCCATGACTGCTTCAACTCCACGGATTACCACAAGGCCGAAACAAGTCGAATCAAGTCCAAACACTTACTGTGGAATCTTCGAGGGTTATGCTAGCGATTCACATAAAACTTGTCTAAAAAAGCTTCTTCAATGATAAAGTTAATCGGGTCAGGCGCAACCCCATAAAAGGTCAGGCCGCCTGAGCTTTTGAGGGGTTGCGCCTGACCCGATTAACTTGTTTTCAAAATCTAAAAATCGCTCCATTTCTGCTATGAGTATTGAACTCAAAGCCTCTTCTTGCAATACTGCAAATTTGGAGCCAAACAATACACCCCTGTGGGAATTATAGCTCTAAAAGTAGGGCTATCCAAAATCCAAAACTTGCCGTCAAGTTGCGTGTGCTGTGCAATCGCAGAAAGTCGACCTACAGACCTCCAAAAAACAAGAACCTCCCAAAAACGGCTGATCTCTTCGAATTATCACAGCCTGAGGTCCTGGAGGTGAAGCAGAGGGGTCGTTTAGGGGCTTTCACTGGGGGGGGGGGTCGTTTTGGAAAGACTTGTGCCTGACCTCTTGCTTAACCCTGGTTACGACCCTATTGGAGTTGTCAATTTGCGCATTTTCTTTCCAATCGCAGCAGATACCAGGCATTGATTATCTCATTGTCTGACTAATAAATAAGCGCACGCTTTGCTTACGACTGACTAGTTTATAAGTGCTTTTACTACTACTTTTGACTGACTAGTTTATAAGTGCGTTTTAACGAGTTTTGGTAAATTACTGTTAACACGTTTCGGACCGGTGCTGCACCATGTGCAGCACGCTGCTTTGGGAGATCTTTTTGACGTTTACAGGAAGTTTTCTTTTAGTCCAAGGTTATCAAATCAAAGGCCTGAGCTTCTACTTTTCGAATGACTCTGTAGAGTTGCGCCGCCGATACTTCTTTTTAGGAGATATGAGCACAAATCGAACAACAGTTGCAACGAAGTGCGGCAACGCGAACGACTCGTGCGACGTCGCAACTTTCCTTTGCTTCGATATCAAAGAGAAAAACCGTAGTTTTGATACTGATGTGTGCCGTTTACAACATAGATACTTTTGGATACTATTAGAAACTGAGTTCTTATTCCTATCATTTAGGAAAGCACAGAGATCCTTTTCAAGCGACAAAATTCAAACACTTCAGATTCACTCAGAACTTCGGGTATGGAACTTATTTGACAAGCTGTTTACAGATGTAGCACACAGTCTACGAAATGAGGTCCCTTTGTTGGCTAATGGCTGAAAGTGCACTCTTTTTCGCCGCGCGCGATTTCGTGGTCCGAAACGTGTTAAACATAAAAGAACATGTTCGAGCTTGTTAAACAACGCAAGTTTAAACATGTTTTTTCATGAACTTCTGATAGTAAAATACCAAAACGCGTTGAAACGAGCTCGTAAACTTGTCAATCAGACATACGCAAAGCGTGCTCGTGTCTCATAGTCAGAAAATGAATGATACGTTGGAGAATGGGAGAACAGAGATGAACAGAATGATCGAATAAGACGCGAATAGTGCTAAGTGTGTACTTCTCATTATCGATTTGTACTGCAAAGACAAAAATTTTGCGTCACATAGTTAGCAAGAACCACAGCATCAAGCAGAGGCGCAGACGGCTAACTATGTTCTTGAGAAAAGACATCTGTTTATCTATATAGAAGTGCTAAAGACTTTGCAGATTTGAATTTGTTTCACGAGTAGTGAAAATTTGAAGAAGTGACAAAGTTGTAGACGAAGCTAATCAATCTCATAGCAGAAGAGCTATGATGAACCGGCTTTCTTCAAGAACGTTGCGACCACTACACGTCATCGAAGCACAAATATTGCGGCTTTTCGGCTACTTGAACGTGGCCGCCTGTTTTGCGCTACTTTGGCTTTTTCTGTGAAATTTCGATCAATTTTGAAACAAACCAAGTCGACAGATGCTGCAAAGGCAAAGCCTCTTATTTTGTATATATACTATCTGCTAGTTTCTCGTAGTGTTCTTATGGAGAATATATGTTGAAGGTCGACTCGCTAGCTAGATGTAATTTGCATCGGACATGTCCATCTTTGATTCCACATACCGCTCATAAACTGTGCAATGAGGAAAGATTACCTGAGTCGCGTAACTTTAGCGTCGCTTCGCCTATTTCGATTAGTGGACATTCTGAATCTGAGGGCACCGATCAGCCCAGCTATAGAAGCGCTTTGTGTACGCTAGGTTTAGAGCTAATTTTCCACTCTTTTCGACTTTTTTGTTAT